GCTGAGGAGGCGAGAGAGGCTCCCGCCACCACCGCTGTGCTGGCAGCCATCAGCCTGGCTTGTGGCTGAGCAGAGCTCCCCCTGTGGGAGCACACTGACCACTAGGGGGCAGCTCCTGCATTGAGCATCTACCCCCTGGTGGTCACGGTGTGCCATAGTGACTAGTCATTCCCAGTCGTTCTGCTGTTAGGGTCAGTTTGCATATTACCCTTTTAATATATAGGATTCTTACAATTCTAGGAGAAAATTGAAGCTTATAAGAGGCTAAGAAATTCAATGTCACTTGATTACTTAAGCAGCAAAACTAGATTCCAAACTGAAGTCTGGTTTATGAGATGATAACACAACACAAGGGTAAAAACTGTTTCATCCATCTTTTGTGACTACCTATAAATGTATATATTCATTAGTTCACTATTATAAAATGTTTTATTTATTTTTAGAAAGAAAGAGAGGGAGAAAGGGTGGGAGGGAAACATGTCATTGTTCCACTTATTTCTGCATTCACTGGTTGCCCCTTGAATGTGCCCTGACTGGGGAGGAAACCCAAAACCTTATCATACAGGGACAAAGCTCTAACCAACTGAGCTTACCTGCCCAGGGCCTATCATCAAGTCATTTTATGGTATGCTGATCTGAATTGAAGAATTTAGTCCTTACTTTGGGTTAGAGTCAACTGTAAACACTGTACAATCACTGTACCCTCCAATATCACATCTTGATAGTAGCGAAGGTGAACTTTTTTAATGCACACTTACTGTATATCTTCAACAGGCAAATTTAGAGGATATTCTGCATTTTTCTTCACTTTCATTTCATTCCAATAATCATTCAGTTTATCTCCCAGTGCTAGTATTGTAAGCCTGAAAAGTAAATTATGAAACCAATTTAAGAAAAAAATAATAATTAAATCTTTGTCAAACACAGAGAAAGCACAACCTAGCAATGATCAGGTGAACACTGGTGGGGGGGGGTGGGTAGGGAGTAAGGACGAAGGACCCCTAAAAGTACAGTTAATAAAAAACACTCAACGTAACAGCAATTTTGTAGAGAGGACTTTTTTAAGTTACTAGTGCAGAGCGAGGGTCCTCTAGGAAGGAAGACACAATGTAATACGTTGGGTCTCCTGTTGTGAAAGAATGTGGCCAACCAATCATGGGGAGAACCACTGAATTTCAACTCCAACCGTCCAAGCTTCAATTCAAATCAAACTCACACTTTTGGTGTATGAAAGTATGCAATCATTCCCAGGAAGTCTATTTCAAATAGACTCTGTCCCACAATTAAAGACTTGCACTTCTCCCACAGTAAGATGTCTTTTCTTAATTGAGTTTATTGGTGTGACATTGGTTAATAAAATTACATAGGTTGCAGGTGTACAATTGTATAATACAGCGGTTCTCAACCTGTGGGTCGTGACTCCTGAAAATACATCCTGCATTTCAGATATTTACATTACGATTCATAACAGTAGAAAAATTACTTATGAAGTAGCAACGAAAATAATTTTATGGCTGGGGGTCACCACAACATGAGGAACTGTATTAAAGGGTGGCGGCATTGGGAAGGTGGAGAACCACTGGTATAACACATCATGTGTTTATTGCACTGTGTGTTCACCACCCCAAGCCCCATAATAAGATGTTAAAATCAACGGGACCTACTGAAATAAGTAAGACTAAAGGCACAATTCCTCCTCGTCTCTTTTTCTCATCACCTCTACTCCTCAGTCCATGAGACCGCACCCATTTCTGTTGAGAATATACCCAGGAGAGGAACAGCAGGGTCATGGGGTGGGCATTTACTTGACAGCCTATTAGTTTTCAAAAATGATCAACCAACAGTTTTACATCCCGCAGCAATGTTCGATGAGAGCTCCAACTGCCCTACAACTTGCCAACATTTGCTGCGTTTTCTTCACTGTAAATATTTATCCAGTTCTGCCCATTATGATGGAAGCTTTTCATATCTTGTTTAAAAAACCTGCCTAACTAAAGATTATAAAAGTATGCTTGTTTCCATTTTGGTTTTGCCGTTCTCATTTAGGTCTACAATCCATCTAAGAACTGGCCTTCTGCTTCATTTGAGAGGCAGGAGTTAAGTTCATTTTATCTGTACAGACAGCCAACTGACCTGGTCTCTTTTGGAAAGATGATCATTCTTACTACACTCGAATGCAACCTTTGCCACAGCAGATGACCATATGTATGAGTGGGGGTTGTTTTTTGACTTCTCTACTCCATTTCACTGGACTATCTACCCTTTCATTAACACCCGCTTTCTTAGCTACTATGGCTTTCTAAGTGTTATTTAGTAGTGTGAGTCTTCTTGCTTTGTTGTTCTTTAATGACTGTCTTAACTGTTTTCAGTCTTCTAATGGTCAACTTAAAGTTTAGATTAAGCCTATCAACATATCAACAACCACACACACCTACTGTTTTTTTTGGTTCTTTTTAAAACTGAAATTGCATTTAATTATTTTGGAGAAAAACTGACATTTCATAATACCCAGTGTTCCAATTCTTGAACGTAGTATACCTACTTATTTAGGTCTTAAATTTCACTCCACAATGTTTTGTGGTTTTCAGTATGTCGAGGTCTTTGTGTATTTGATTTCCTCTAAAGTACCTGTTTTTATGATGATCCTGATTTTTTTTTTAAATATCATGTTGTTTATCTGTTGTTGCTAGTACACAATGATTTCTGAATACTTCTTACCCAGCAACTTTAGAATACATATCACTTGTTCCTTTATTAATTCCAATTACAGATAATTTTGGACTTTCTACATATTATCATCTGCAGAAAAGTTTTATTTATTCTTTCCCAACCCTTCTAACTTTCATTTCTTTTTCTTGCCTTATTGAACGGGTTATTTCCTCCAGAACAATTCCACCAGATCTGGTTTTTTTTATGGCGGGGGGGGGGGGGGGGGGGGGAGGCTAGCTATTGATTATTCACCACTAGAAATGATGCCTGCTCTTCCTGGAAATACTGTGTACTATTATTTGTAAATAACTACTGTTACTATGCCCTTTCTGTTAATGGTTTTGTAAATGTTCATTTTTCTAAATCACAAATGGGTGTGGTTTTATCAATTGATTTTTCTGTACCTATGAAAATAGCTATCGGAGTTTTCTTTTTTAGCACCAGTGTGATGAGTAACATTGAATTCTGAATATTAAAAACCACCCATGGCATCTTGCAATACATCCACTGGGGTTAAATGTATCATACTTTTTACGTTTCAGCGGATGGGATTTGTTATTATTTTAAGATTTTTATATCTTGACTAGAGGCCCGGTGCACAAAAATGTGTGCACTGGGGGGGGGGGGGGGATCCCCCCCC